TATATTTTTTCCATCCTTTCTCCTTAAGGAAGTACCTGTCCTTGAAAGTGAGATGAGTTTCTTGCAGACAACAGAAAGATGGGTTTTTTTTCTTAATCCATTCGACTAGTCTGTGTCTTTTGACTGGGGAGTTCAGTCCATTGATATTTGAAGTTATTAATGAAAGATATGCATATTGAAAACCACTGAAAGAAGAGTTGATGATAATCATGAAAGTATTAATAATAGGCATATTATGTGCAAAATATAAAACAATAGAGAAGAAGACTACAAGAGACAGGACTATCTGAGAGATCACATGAAGAAATGGAAGAAAAGGGTGTGGCAGAGCCCACCCAGCTTTATTAAACATTTCCTGAACTGCATTCTATTTTCCCCAAACACACTGCAAGCTACTTTTAAAACTATTCTGCTTTAAGGAAACAGCAGCCCCAAACTGAGATAAGACCACATGGACATTACAGCAATGCTCACAGGACTTCTCCTTCTACCTGAATCTAATAGTCACACGGACACCTATGATCTAGATATCTATCAAAGACAAATTGATGGACAGTGAACTATACAGCCAGACAGTGGCATGGAAGGAGCTTGTAGCTGTTGATAGCATAGCAGATGAATCTGGGTGAAACCAGTGCTGATCCAGCAAAGGTGGGTCAAGAAGAATTTATATAAAAGTTAGTACACATATTTCATAGACGGAAACATACAGAAACAGTCAGCACATTCCGATGAGCATGAATGAGTCACACATGGTTCCAACAAACCTGGGAGGAAAGCAGGTCATCCTGATGCCGCGGGCTCTCAGGTTCAATATCATATAGAATACTAAGTAAATTAGGCAAGCAATTAAAATTAAATGCAGGTAGGTATAGGCACAACACTCATTAAATTTTCTTTGTTTCAAACATTTCACAGTTTTAATAAAATAAATGATAATGCATTTAATATAGTTGGTTAAATAAAATAGTAGGAAGAATAATTTTATCTCTTCAAAATGCAACATTTGCTCTTTTGCAGCATCTGCTAACGTAATAAATAGAAGTAAAAAATGGGCCTTGCACAGAATATTAAGGAGAACGAAGAAGAATGCATAATTAATTTCTGAATAAACAAATCTTGGCTAAATATAAGGATTGGCTGCCTAAAAAAAACATCCAGATGTAGGAATGATCACAAGATGACACAGAAAATTAAAATAGATGAAATGTATGAAACTTCCCAACTATGCAACTGTGAGGATGACATTCAGAAGAAAACAGAGACGCTCATAAGGAGGACACAGCAAACGCTGCAGGCAGGGAGGGCAGGGCAGGGCCTGCTGTCACGCAGTCTCTACGGGTCAGGAAGAAGGTATCCTTTAGGCCCCCTTCTGAATCTGTCTAGTTCACAAGGTATGAGAGAAGACCCATCCCAAGGCCCCAGGAAGTAGAGATCTACCTGTGAACCCTCTCATATGATTACTGGCATGACTGAGGTCCAGGAGGATTTAGGATGGCATATCTCAATTACTCGGGGACTGTTGGCCACAGGTCTCTCAATGGCCTGCATCATCAGACAGCATAAATTGGCTTCTTTCAGTATGAGAAGTCATTCAGCAAAAGAAGACAAGGTGTAAGCCAGGAGCTGTTTAAATCTCTGGTATTAGAAGGTCAGATCCCTTCCCTTTTACCACCATGGAAGCCAGCTCACAGCTGTTGCCTTAGAAGCCAGGAAGAAATGAAATACAAGGGGAACTATAATTCACTACACATACATATTGGTTTTCAATTTTTTGTGTCATTGGGGATTGAGGGCATGGGGATGGAGATTACATATATACATATATCTCAGTACATATAATACTATGAAGCCAAGTCACCTATATTCTCTCCTGGCACCACTTCCTTGTTTCATTCCACTTTGTCCACAGAGATAAGAAATATAGTCAACCTCATCTATGTTTTAAAATTATTCTCTATATATGTATGTGTACCATATCTTAATCACTTTACAGGAATGGCATCACGGCACATGTAATAGTTTGTCAGCTACTTTCATAAAGCACTATCATATTTTGAGGTATATTCATCTTGGTTTATAAAGATATAAAATATCCATTTTCATATTCTTAGTCTCCAGTTGTGCGAAAAAGAGGTTGATCCCTTTCCCTTTTGATGGTTAGCTGAAGTTTTCCTAGTGTTCATTATTAACTGTATATATGGAATGAAAGTACTTTTCATTTTCTTGAGTATATGTAAGAGTTTCAGATATAGACTTTTCACTGAGTTAAAACGTTACCCAAACTACTCAGCAAACTAGATTTTTATATTTCTCAGAAAATTTGTGACACTTCCTTCTTGGCTTAACACTGAGCAGGAACAGGGTGACTTTCTCTTCAGGCTCTGATAGTTTTCTCATTTTTCACAAGAGAATGTCAACCTCAGGTTTACTCTCTATCAAAGCTAGAGGGAATTACCTGACAAAAGCCATATGTCAAACTCTTATCTAAGAGAAAGAATTAATGTCACATCTGGCCAAGATCTATCAAATACTCAAATCAGAAAGCAATAGTCAGGGAAGATTACTTGAAATAAACTCAAGCTTTTCATCTTCTGGATATTCTAAAATAGGGATTAAACTGGCAGAAAATTTAAGTTATATTAAATTTGATTCCGGACTAGAGCCTTATTACTCAAGGATTAGGATATCAGTATGAATATTACATAGCAACATAGAAACTCCATCAATGAGGTAATCCAGTCTCATCTTGACTTCTAAAAGGGAATCTATATTCTAACAAGATCCAAAGTGGTGTGTGTGTGTGTGTGTGTGTATGTGTTTTAGGCTGAGGAGATCAGATATGCAAATTTACTCCTTTGTTGTTAATGGGGTTTCATATGCCTGTGAGTGGTCATTATATAAAACAATAAACTCATAATGAGGCTAATCCAGAAAAATGGCTTGCTTGCTTTTGGTGTCAAAAACATGAGAGCTATTATATTTGAAAGTTTGAATACACTGACCAGACTGTCCTTGTGTCTTTGACTATTAATGACCCACAATGAGACCAGCACACAGATTTATAAAGGAGCTCTGCTGTAAACGTAGACATTCACAATAGACACTTCGAAGGTACCTGGCTCTATCTTATGCCCTGTGTGTATCGTTTTCACAATTTCCATGTGCTTTTGTTCACACTTCCTAGATATATTTCAGTTACCTTTGAGGTAATAAATAACAGACAGCAAGGGACCAAACCAGTGGTCTATTAGCTGGTAGGAAATTATAACAAATATGCAAAGCTTGTGTTCTGAACACTCAATGCTTTCTACATCGTCCCATAAAATAACAATGATCCCCAAATGCAAATCTTGATGGATCACTTCCGGATTATGATACTGTCTTCAGTTATAACCCACTGATGGGCCCAACAGACACTAATGGTTTGTTCAAAACTCACGTTCACATAGATGACTTTGGTTAAGCACAGAGAGTCACAAAAGAAAACAAAAAGACATGGATAGGGAAAGGGACTTAGGGGAGGGGTAACAGGTGTTTAGGGTTCAAAGGGTGTTGGGGTTGAAAATCAGAGTCTGCTATATACATGTTTGAAATTGTCAAAGAACATATTTAATTAAAGGTAAAAAAGAAATAATACGTCATGTTATATTCAAACATGGATTTAAGGTCCTATCATCTTTCATGAATATACTCTTAAAGACAGCATTTTGGGATGGACATCTCACAGGGTAATTACTTGTATAATTATGAGGAAAGTGTTTGCATATGTCACCATAACCTAAGTTGACACTTGAATCTTTGATGTACAGTTCATGCAAAATGTGTCTGTGAATGTCTTATCCCTCCTCAGGCAGTACTGAAATGTTGATCAATACTCCTCTTAAAATCTGTAAAGATGTAAATAAATACTGGTGATAACACCTGTTAGCAAGTTGCACTTGTAAGAGATGTATATCTATTCCAGGTTCTCATTTCTATAGACAGTAACAACAGTATCTATTCCACATATTTCTTGGGGAAACTGAATGAGATAAGCTATTTAAAAAGCCTGGCACAGTATATGGTACTAATTGCTGACAAGAACCTCTCCCTCATTGCTAATTAACCTCATTTTGTTTTGTTAATATGTCCAGTAATGATATTTACAGAATATCTAGAAACTGTTTTTCAGGCTGTAATGTAAATAGCTGGAGAGCAATTCTTAATTTAACTGGTATAGGGGTATGGACATTTGAATGATTTATTTTCCACTAAAATAATGCTAAATACAAGCATATACTCACAGAATACATGATATATTATTAGCAATATTTTACTCAAAAAAATCTGAAAATAATGTCATTCAACTAAACAAAAGGACCTTTTAAAGGCCATTGATATCGGTGCCAAACTGCCATTTTAAAATATGTAGTATTACTTTCAACCTACGAATGCTTTCAGATTTAATCTTAAAAGATGATTGTTATTGACTGGAATTAAATGACATAAAATTCACTAAGAATCTTGAGAGATGTTCAGATACAATGGCAAAAGTATTAACACTCTCAACTTGATCAACTTCTCTTCCAGACTAGAGTTCCGATCTCCTTTTTTCCTTGCAACATTTATTTTTAGAACCTTACCATTGCAAACTCATTCTCGCCTCTATGAAACACTCCTCATTTCAAAGTCTTTCCATTTTTATCAATCAGAAATTTCTGCCTTAAGTACTCTCAAGTTATCCCTTTGAAATACAGCTAATCAGGAAACACAACCATCTTCCCCTAGTCTCTGATTCTGCACAAAATTCATTAAACACAAATATCTTATTTACATTGGACCATAAGCTCCTTTAAACTCTACCAACTTTCCCCAAATTCATCCCACCTCTTCAAAACTCTTGCTACAACAGAATGAACTCTACTAGTCCCCTACTGCAGCAGGCTTGATCCTTTTCCTAAGTGTTGACTGAAGTCCTTCCTTCCTGCTTAACTTCGTCTTGGCATGTTTTTGCTTACCATCTTGTTTGAAGGCATCTGAGGAATGATAAAGATTGATGGGGGAGTGGTACTGTTGGGCTGTCCCTCGCCAGCTGGGTGGAGAAACACTCAGAGTACCCAATGAAGGATTGCTATATCGTGGTCTAGTCTTGGAACCAAAGGCAGATGAGGGTGAACTCTTCTTGATTCTTAGCAAAGTAGTGTATGAAGAATGGAGACCAGAGAGACCTTCAGCGTATTCTGTAAAAGAAAACAGAAATAGTCAGTTCTGTGGGTTGTAATGTATGCAGTTCTTATGAAATTGTTTCTTCCAAAAAATGCTGGAAACCTTGCTTGGGCCTGCAAATAAATTCCAACTAGAATGGAGAACGGAAACATTAAATGCTAACTTTTATGTTTTTGAATATTTGAGGAAAACTCTACTGCTTATGATGGTGTGCTTCTGCAAGAAATGAAGATTTAAAAAAGACAGATATGCCAGGCATGGTGGCACATGCCTTTAACCCCAGCACTGGGGAGGCAGAGGCAGGCGGATCTCTGTGAGTTCGAGGCCAGCCTGGTCTACATAGTGAGTTCCAGGACAGCTGGGCTACAGGAGACCCTGTCTCAAAAAGACCAAAAAAAAAAAAAAAAGACAGATATAGAAGTCAAAAGGTTAGGAGGAAAAGAGAAGAAAGAAAGAGGTAAGAAAATCCAAAGAGTGCATTTTATAATACGTTAATCAGACTATTTGCGATGTTCTTTGAGTTTGTTTTAATATAAAAATGTCCATTTCACATAGAGGAAATAGGTTCTTTTTCATTAATAAAATTGGAAAAACATTCTCTTTTATGCTTTATGCATTCAGAGACAGAAACAGGCATCTCATTGAATATTAGGAGTGTTGCATACATAATACATCACACACATAATACAATGTTTTACATAATATCAAATGTTTCTAGGGTTTTGTTTTAATATAAAAATGTCCATTTCACATAGAGGAAATAGGTTCTTTTTCATTAATAAAATTGGAAAAACATTCTCTTTTATGCTTTATGCATTCAGAGACAGAAACAGGCATCTCATTGAATATTAGGAGTGTTGCATACATAATACATCACACACATAATACAATGTTTTACATAATATCAAATGTTTCTAGGGTATTACATACATTTCATCTATTTTGTAAGTTATACCTCAAGTTGCTGAAAAGTCCCCAAGTTATCTGTGAAATACAAGAATCAGGATGGCATTAATTGTGCATGGTTTACTATATCATATATATAACTCAATATTATGAAAAAGTATTGGTTACTAAGGAATTTGTATTTTATTTAAATTCTCAGGTTTGAGCTAGATTTTAAATGATTGCATAGTGTCTGAAATAGATTATACTCAGTATTATATCTTCACAGAGAATAATTTTAGAGTATATGTATTATATCTTTATAGCGAATAAGTTTAGTGTATAGAGAATTTCTGAAAATTTCTAATTATGATGAAATTTAAGCAGAAATTTAAATTTACCTTTTTCCATATCTAAAATCAATTGAATTGAACAATTTTCTAATCATGGTACAGTTTTAAGAATCAGATATTTTTGTTTGGAGAATATGACATTTGATCTTAATGTCTGCTAACTTAATGTAAGAGAAAAACATGTCTTTGACAGTAAGCATTCACATAATTAAAATTGCTTATGATCATTACACTGCCTCATACAGATATTTTGGAATCCAAGAGGCATTTCTCTGATTTGGAAATATTAGTTAGGTATTAGGGTATCAAACTGAGTTTAACATTACTGTGCTGTGAGATTGTAAATATAATTTACCCGAAACTCAAGAAAAGTGTATTTTTAGATATTTTCCACACTTGAAATGAACATGCTCTGTACTCCAGCCCACCAGGAGTTATGAAGAGACCCATGTTCATTAGCCTTTGCTGTTCAGCGACAAGTCCATGGAAGGTGGATCAATTTTAACTAGAAATAACCAACCTTCCCTGGGAAAGCTGTATGAAAAGAGATTATGAGTAGACATAAAATCTTTAAAACTCAGTTAAATGCAAGTTATGACACATAGAGGTACAGAGTAATGAACAGGGAAGGGGTTTTCCTTTAAGGTACTTTATAGTCACAGTTTGTGAGTCTCCATTTTCCAGGGCAGTTTTCGGCTTAGTATCTAAGCAGCCTGCCCTGCTCATTCATAAAAAGAATGAAAAAAGAGAAGAAAGATCCCAGGCTATTTCTAAAAAATAAAATAAAATGAGAATATAGCTTTGAGTTTTCAAAGACGGGCAAGGATAATCAGTAGAAAACCAGGAAAAAATAATGAATATTTATTTATTTTTGTTTAGGAATACAAAATATGGGTTTTTGTTGTGACACTTTATACATATCTACCATTATACCTTTTTCTTATTTGCCCCCTCACTCTGCCCTCCCCAATCCTCTCTTGATCGGCATATGCTCATATTCATATGTGCACAAAATAAACACTCTGCAGGAAGGTAAGAAATTGGTCTGTGCCACTTATACAGAGATGTGTTCCATATTAGGGCTACGTGTTTTATGTGATTTCTTACATCTGTTACAGTAGTGATTCCCTCTTTGTCAATTAAAATGACCCCAAGATGTTTCTAGAACCTTGACAATTTATTCATCCATGCATACATTCAATAAATACATACAGAAAAACTAATAGATGCCAAGGGCTAAAGACACAAAAGTAAGTAAGGTATTTCCACACCCCCAAGAAGTTATGATGTAGCAGAGGCAAGTCAGCTGTGCGCCTACTTTTACTACGGAGTAATGGCAAAGTACGTTCACTGACCTACTGGCTCCCTGCAGGTCAGGGATCCTCTCATTCAGCTGTAAGAAAATGCTTTTAGTAGGCAGAACTAAACTGAGTCCAGAGATCCCATCAGCAATTAGCTCCGGAAAGCCCACAATACAGATGAAAGACATTCCAACCAAAAAAGGAAAATATATGGAAGTCTGTAAAAGAGAGGCAGTGTGGTACCTACCCCAGGTGGGCCAAAGCACCTGAGCCAGGGTGTGGGGGAGAAGACAGAGAGGAAAGACTGGTCAGGCCAGCAAGTGGCAGATGGTGGCATGGAGGCGACACTCAAAGGAGACCCCATGAATTTAGAGAGATGGCTCCAGCTGCAGTGTAAAAGAAAGATCACAGGAGGGACAAATACCAGAGGCCATGAGCAGTTAGCATTTGGGAGGTAATACCATTATGGAAATAAAATCAGTACAATTACTGACTGATTGAATTGGAAGCAAACAAGGCAAGAAAGTAGGCATGTGCTGTGCCAGCCACGATGGCTGTGAATGAATGCGGGACAGGGCATGTGTTCCAGGGGAAAGTTCAGGAACTCAGCCTGGGCAGTGGATGGTCTAAAATGCATGCAAAGCACAGAGTTGATTATATGACTCTACAAACCTAAGGGAATTGCAGGGTCATGGGAGATTGCAACCAAGTACATACTTAAAGCCATGAAAGTGTAACGTTTTCCAAGGAAGCATGTCAAATAGAAAATAGAATGTTTAAAACAAAATCCTGGTGGATCATCAGTATTGAAGAGAAAGAGCTGATCTAATTAAATCTGGGGAGGGAGGAGGAAGGGAGGATGGTGGGGAGGGTAGAGATGAATGAATCTTGGGGGCTAGGGAAGCCAGAGGGAAATGTGTTGCTTCCGAACACTGAAATGCACATGCAGTGCCTGAACATTAGTGTATATGTATGCATACCTGGAGACTGTAGGTCAAGGAACACAGTGCCAGGCAGGAGAGATCTCCCCTTGAGTGGTTGGTCAGAGTGATTCAAGAGATTCCCAAAACAGGAATTGCCAGACCTCTTGGTTTTCTCCAAGAACTGGAAGAGAACACCCAACTTCTGAAGACAGGACATGCTTCAGACACAGGACTTGGAGCAATGGAGCAAGAACGGACCTGGAAGCTGTCTACCTGAAGTTTAGTTCTTGTAATTCTGGAGTATTCTATGAAAGCTGCTAAGGGAGCAAATCAATCAACAGTCCAACCCAGCCCTAGAGTCTAATAACCACAATGACCAGCACAGCAAACTACCTCTACTGGTATAGTAGTGGTATTGTTACCTGGACTTAAAGCTATCTAAGTGGACTTAAAGCCCTCTCAATGGGAGTGAACTCATGGGTGGCACTATAAACTCAGCCAAATAAACACGGCTGGAGAGGTCATAGATCCCAGAGAAAACTCATTACCTGTTGTATCTCTAGACACATGAAATTTCTTACCTATGCTAAATATGGGTCCTTATATTTACATATACCATATACCTCTCATCAAAGACACTTCTTTCATACACATAAAAAATAATAAAATTTTAAAAAAGAAAGTATAAAAGCTCAATAAAATTTAAAAAATTCAATATATTACCAAATAACCCTTGGTTAAAGAAAAAATTTCAAATAAAGTTAGTAAAATATGCACTAAATTAAAAAAGTAAAAAAGAGGAAAGGCAGGAGGAATGGACAGTCTCAGAAGGGAAAGGAAGAGAGTCAGTACAGATGGAGCAAGCAGTCAAGTGTGGTAACAACCAGGACAGTGATCAAGCAGACAGAGGCCAGCCTGCAGCTAGGGGCTCCTAGCACTGCCAGAGACCTATTCTTTCCCAGTGGTATACGGAAGGTGTGTAAATGAACCAAGAGGCTTGGTAAGCTCCAGAGAGAGGAGCAGACCTGTGTGTTCCTAAGTCTGGTCTCAGTCCAACCTGTGGCTTCTATCAGTCTTGTGGTCCAAATGTCAGCCATCCACCAATAAGGCTGCTTCTTTTTATCTAGAACCCCAACTCCCTTGGGTTCCACAGTCTTACTGTCTTTCTGGTTCATGCCCCATCCTCTCATTTCTCTAATTTCCTCTGAGTTAGAGTCTCTGGTCTGCCTACTAGTCAGTGCACCTGAAACCACACTGTCTTTCCCACTTGTTTATGCTAGTCTAGATCCAACTGTTGGACAAATCTGTAGCTATAGAAGAACACAAATGCATTCCTAAAACTTTCAGCCCATGATAACTAACCTCTAGATACCGGAAGGTACATCTTCGTCTTACTAACCCATTAGCTCTCCTCCTTTTCAGGATGAAGTACCTCTTACCCTGTCTCCTCAAATCCAAACCATCTTACTAGTATGAAGAGGGAAATGAAGCTATCAGAGCAGACAGTGCCTCAAAGGCTCTCTCCACGCACAGCCACACCGGTCCCCCTCGG